GTGTGTGTGTGTGTGTGTGTGTGTGTGTGTGTGTGTGTGTGTGTGTGTGTGAGTGTGTGTGTGTGTGAGTGTGTGTGAGTGTGTGATCTCACACATTCAAATGCCCAAAATAAGAGATCAGAACAGTGACAATTTTACTAAAATGTGCCATGAACAACCACTCATTAGATAATTGAGATAAAATCAAAACAATTAAACAAAGCTGAACATCCCCAAATCCACTGCAGTGTCTTTATTAAATACCTTTATTATAATGATAGATACGGAATGCTAGGTTGGTACTGATTCCTTGCACAGTACTAAACACACAATGACAATGACAATGACAATGACAATCTTTATCTGGCACATTGAAGAACACAGCAGAAAAAAACGAAGAAAATCATATTATACAGTTTGTGTTTACAAAAAAATTATCCAGAAAATCTTTGGCTCAGAGTTTGACGCGCAAAAAGCCGCCATTGCTTATAGTTGCTGGTTGCTGTTAAACACTCTGTCATACTTAGGCCAGTCCATGCCTTGATGTTATCGGACCACATTGTTTTCAGTCCATCTTTGGCCCTTTTTGACCCACATCTTGCCTTTGATTATTTTCTTCATAATGGTCTGAGGGCATCTGGTACATATGACCAAAGTACTGTAATTTTCTACTTTTCATTTCGTTAAACAGGGGTTGTCCTGAGTGGAGAATCAGACACATCTCATTGTTAGTCTTTTTTGCTTTCTAGTTAATTCTGGCCATTCTGCATTAGCACCACATCTAAAACATGGACATTTTCTTATCTTTTTTTCTTTGTTAAAATCAAACAAATGCACTGCAAACAAAGAGTCATTTATAATTGTACTTAACGTAAGGTATATTTAGCACATTTCAGTTCTAGGAGCAATGTTCTCAAACATGCCACTGAGGTAGCTGTGCCAAACACTTTCACTAAACATGCAATCAGGATGAAAGCCCACTATGATAAACACTTAAACAGTTTTACATTCACTCTTTTTCCTCCAATATTACTTTTCAGGCACAACCAACATCAAATAAAAAGTGCAAAGAAATGCTCCTAGCATTAAGCATGTTTTCAGTCTCCTCCTCAAACAGGACACATTTAAAACATTACCATGGAAAGATATACAATGTCTCTGATTTGTGAATATACACTAAAATCAATACAATATGTTACAAAATGAGGTTTAAAAAAAAATCCAAGACAGTTTATTAAGTCATTTAGCCATAACAAAAAATAATAAAACACGTTCTTTTTAACACAGGTTTTTTCCTGGGTGAAAGACAGTAAGTAAATCTACTGACAAAGTTGTTCCTGGTCATGTAAAGTACAATGAACAGGAAATGAGAGAACTCTATAAAGATGATAAAGGTAAATGCTTCGTTGTGCTTTACAACAAAGGTAAAATGAGTCAATGGGAAGTAAATTTGCCTTTGTGATACAGGTATTTCAGAACTTGACTTTTTAAAAACCATACCACCGTCGTTATCTACTCATCCATACATCCTTCAGGCAATAGTACAAAAGATGTCACCAGAACTTTTTCCTTCTTCCAAGTCCTGATGAAGGCCAGAAGAGACTGAGAAATGAGACAATTCCACCAAGGATGTAGATGTTCATGATTGTACTCTCCTTTGGCATAAAACATTGAGAGACGACATGATGATTGCTGTCAATGCGGGCCTGGAAAAGAAGAAATACAGTTGGATTACATTTTGGAGTGTACATGTAATTGAGCCTCAGTCATCATCATCATCCAGTGCCAGATCTGCAACAGACATCGGCGATCGTGGTTTTCCATTCATTTCTTTGCTACTCTTTGTAGTCTCCTAAGAAACCACATTTCTGTTGCTTCTATTTTATTTTCACTGTCTTTAGTGATTGTCCAGCATTCACAGCCATATAGAAGAGTTGACCAAACATAGCATATCAGGACTTTCATTTTGGTGTTCATTGAGATGTTTCTATTTTTCAGGATTGGGCTCATTTTATTGAAACTAGCCTTAGCCATTGTAGTTCTCCTTTTTATTTCTGTGGAACATTTGGCGTCAGATGTTATCATATATCTGAGATATTTAAACTGTTGGACTTGTTTGATCTTTTCACCTTTGCTAATGGAATTACAACTAGGGTTTGCTGCTTTTTTGGATATTACCATGCATTCTGTTTTCTTTACATTCAACAATAATCCTTTACGTTCACTTTCTGTTACAACAGTATCTAGAAGCAATTGAAGGTCCTTTTCGGAGCCTCAGTACATAATGCAATTTTGAGAAATGTAAAATCCCTATTCTTTTTGAATTACGAACTGCATTGTGTAATAATAACATTCAAGGGTATTCTCATTATTGGCAACAGTTTTCTTGACACCTTCATCTCATGAAAGAAGGGAGAATACTGAAACATCCTCTCTATGAAGAAATATAGAAAAGAAGGCTGAAAAAAGGTGGCCCTTAAACACAGACACAAAGATGCCAGTTAGAAGGATACGATCCAAACAAACATCACTTTTAAAACTTAGAAATCTTCCCAGAATATCTGAAGCATTGTGGCGAAATCAGGCGCTCGTCAAAATGACGATATCAAAGAAACTAGCATATTTCCATCGGTTTGGCAATTTTGGCTGAACACCTTCTAGATCTACATCCATTTTAAAACAAATTTTTGTGTGGATTTTACTGAAAAATGTTGATTTAAAGCACACAAAAAAAGTGTTCAGTTTTTATGGACTCTTAAGCTATGAAAGTCATCAAACTTTGGCGGCCATTTTCTCGCTAATTCTACTCTGAAAACAGGCAATCCCCACCTCCTTCCATTGTTAATACCTCGACTTCTATTGAAAATAAATGGGTATTTTTTTCATCAAAGGATAGACTAACAATAATAATAGTAATAATAACAATTGGAAAAACCATTCTTCATTTTATTATTATCATTATCATTTTATTATTATTATTATTATTATTATTGTTGTTGTTATTGCATCATGTTCTGTCGTTTGGGGTTTATTTGTGTTACATTTGTTTTGTTTTTTACGGCACTTGCAACACAAATAGGTCATATAAGTGCGGAAGATTAGAGGCGTTACATGAGAGGACCATACAAAGAAAAGGAAAAGAGATTTTCTAAGGATGATCGATATTTGATAGGAAAGAAGAAGCAAACTACACGAGAGCACCTGCCTGCAAACCACCCACTAAAACATCAGAGTGAGAGGACCCGCTTGGAACTGTACGACAAGCAGAGTGCACACAACAAACAAGACGAAACTGACCAGTAGCAAAGTAGGATTGTTCCTGTTGCGCCAGCTGAAAGAAGCGACTGACCACTCTGGGACTCCATTCGGGTGGACGAGATAACAGCCATGGTGGGTGTGAGCACTCACAACAAGGCGTGGTTGTAACAGGGAAAATAACTGGAAAGGAACAAAGAGCTATGAAAAAGATTTCTGTACTTATGAATATAGTGTAAAGCGCATAGAGCTTGCTTTCAAAAGGGGACATGTGCTATACAAATGCTATTTATTATTATTATTATTATCATTATTATTATTATTATTATTATTATTATTATAAGACAGTAGTTTAAGTGGTAGCCAACCAGTAAACATCTTCTTTCCCCATCCATCTTCATAGTAACACTCTTGGCCAGCCACAATATTTCATATTCTGAATACCAGACTACTGAGAAACAGACGTATTTCCTTCATAAACAATGAATTAATATTGGGAACATCAACTCACGGAGAACCATTCAATGCTGGTATGAGATAGTTTTGCATAAACAATAAATGATGTTAGAATGTGTGGTTTTATGTACATTGCAGCATACAAAAGTGGTGAAGCTAACGTTTCGATGGACAGCATAAAAATGAGAGTGTCGTAAAGAAAGATGCTGAAAATAAATAACATCTAAGCTATTAAGTTTTAGGATGTAAGCACACTCAAATAACGTCCAGAATCCGACAATTTGCACAATATTACATTTGTCAGATCAAGATGATAACAGAGTATTTTAATTTCATATTGTGATCCTTAAGGCTGTTAAAATATCAACAAAGAGTGAAAGAAATAATTAATCAGCAGGCCTCTGAAACACAATCAGTTACAAACTGGATCAGTATATGTGGAATTTCAGGGTCTGGAACTGACTAGGGTTCCCATTTCAACGTTTTGAAAAATTTCTTTCCAGTTGCATGTAAAGTCCGAAGGTCAATTGCTCTCCCTTCAAAATTATTAATCCAGAAGCAAGAAGAGCTTTAAAAATCAACAAAAAAGAGAGAAAAAAAGGAACGTTACTTGGTTTGAGGATCTCTGATCAAGGCAGTCATATCGAAGTCGAAAAGGAATGTTTTTCTCTTCTGGGGGTGCTGAATCCTCAGTATTGCACACAGAATCAGATTGTCTGTACATCGGGAAGTGCTGTCAATGACACACAAGGAAGGACATTCAATAAGGCACTTTCAGGGAGACAATATTTGGAAAAGCTATAAAAGTTTTTTCAGTTCATAGTTGCTGGTAGCTAGCAGTCCAAAAACCTCTCAAAATTTGATTCTTTACAGTGCTAGTCTGATTACCAAGAATAAGCAGTTTTTAAGGCATTTTCGAATTTTAAAGTAAGCAAAACAGAAGGTTATGCTGTCCCTGTCGTATAATGCAAGAAAAATTCTGAAATTATGCAAAATGAGCTTAAAAATGTGAAATTATGCGATTCTGTTAATTTTAACAAAGAATGATAAAGGAAAATAATCAGAAATTATGCAAAAAATGATCAAATTTTGCTAAATTATGCGGGGTGCATAAAACCACGTGAACACGTTATGGAACTCTTTTGAGATGTAATTTAATGGGGACTTGTCCAAACATGACAGGCTCTATTCCCGACTGATCAAGGGAATGCCCTCAAAGTGTTCAGAGAACAAGAATACAGAGGACGATGACTCTGAAAGCAAGCGCAGTTCTTAGAATTGAATGAAGATGACACTCTAGCTGCCTGGCATATAGAGGCATACACATAAAAAAGTACATTGTTTCAAGAGACTTACTATGCTGACAATGTTCTTCCTATTGTAGGCAGAATAATGAAAGGTATGCAAATGATTGTATGAAGAGATTTTCGGAAAAAGGGGAAAGGGGTGGAGAATAATAGCATGTTCAGGGTGTATGCTTTCCTGGTTATGGACTCAAAGCCCTCATTATGCAACAAATTCAATATAATTAAGACACAATTCATCCCAGATGAGAACTAAGATGCAATAAAGGCATACGGGTACTAGATCTAGTATTCAAGCTCAAAAGCAATACATATCATAAATAGACTTGGACATGACTATAACTTTTTTTTATTAACCATACGGACCTGCAAAAGAACTGGCTTTGTGTATTGTATGCCTTGAAACTCAGAACAGCTGTCATCACTTGAAGATCGCTGAGTACAAAGAAAAGATGTATATCAACTTGAGCGATCATCATAGACAGAGCAAAAAAAAAACTTGACTTCTCACTGCCAAGACTTACACTGGTCATTTTTAACTGTAAAATGAAAAAAAAATGTCTTTCTTTTTTACTTATACTGGAGCCTGCTAGTACTAGTAGTCTCCAGATTGATTTCTCTTTGAACTGCAATTTTATGGTTGAGACGTTCTGACATGTGTATTAACAATACAATACTTTCATGTTCTGAAAAAGATAAGACATCAAAAAGAAGAAACATCAGTGGTATAAGGTTAGTCTGAGGGACTATCAACCATAAGTTCATGGGCTCGAATCCTGCCAGGATCCCAACCTTGTAGTCTTGGGAAAGGCACTTCATATGAATTTTCCTCACTTCACTCTGGCGGAAATGGGTACCCAGTTAAAGATTGAGAAAGATCTTGCAATTTTGATAACATTTGGGCACATGTGATCTGCAGCTTGCACTGTATGTCTCGTGGGAAGCCCATAATGTATATGAGTATTCTGGGTTCTGCTGGGACAATAGTTGTAAAGCCTATAGAGCGGGCTGTAGAGTATGGATATGTGGTGTATATGAAAGACACTTTACACTTCACTTCTCCTGTGGCAAAACAAATCACCAGCATATTATTGAGAAATCTGAATGAACTTCACTTTGAGGTTAAAATAGAACTCTGTCTCATATTTGTTGGGTACAACTGAAATGCCAAGTGATGAGCTACACATACAAATACAAGTTTGTGCGCAGGACTTAAATTCTTTCAGGGGCACTTTTCTTGTTCACTTGTGGTGGGGGTTTTTTGTGTGGAGACGAAAGCAGACGACAGAACATTGTTAGAGGGCAGGTAAGAAGGTGAAAGGAAAACATTTTTAGAGAAGAACATTTTCCGTCGCTGTCCAGATTTGAACCCGGGACCTATTAAATAAGAGGCAAACACAGTTGAGTAACCTCTCGACCACAAGAATCCCTATTGTGTGTTATTTGCTAAAAGACTGCAATGGGTAACAATGACATTGACAGGTCTAGCTGTAGTATCATCAGTTTCACTATGAAACCGGGATAAGTTCCAGACCTATAATAAGACTACTCAGACATCAAATAAGTGCAAACTCACCTTTCCACAGTTACGCAGCTGAGCAAGCTTTGTGGCTATTTTCTGCAACTGATCCTCCGCAGCTGTACAGAGAGTACAGTGGTCACCTTCCATTGCCATTGAGTTGACAAGCACAAAAATATTGTTCTTTATCCGCAACATGCGAACTGATGGGGAGTCAAAGCTACGTTCAAACCTCAAGTGCTTGTGGTCTGTGATCCTAGAAAACAGGAACACTTTTAATCTTCTCTGCCTTCTAGTAACTAGGCCTTTCAAGTATCAAGTGGCATGTGGTCTGCAAATGCTAAAATAATGTTAGCACGCTGTTTTGAAGCAGAAAAAGACTCTATCTTAGGCAGATGAGGACATCTGAAGATGAACTTTGAAACAAGATTTTTACAAAACTTATCTAGTACTCATTATCTTCCTTCACAAAATAGTATGGGGCATTCAATATTACCTCCAAGAGTGAATATAGTGTCCACAAAGATTAATTACTTCTTCAAATCAAGTGAAAAGCATTGCTTGGATATAAATGCTATTTCTATGTGATAACATTCTCTTCCAAGAAAATTTTTTAACTGGGAAAAGAAAAACTATATTACAGGAAGGTCAATTTCTCAAAATTATCACTAGAAATACCTTGGCAATTTGATAACATCTTCTTGATATGCCTATATGACACTCCTAAAAATTTAGAAAAAGTTTCCACATATTTGTAGTTACAGATACACCACACCATGCCTTTGCAAAGCACAATGCAATACTCACATGTAGTGAAAACCTTCATCATGATTTCCAGATACAACATGGAGTTCTGTGCCCTGTGGCACGGCAAACATAGATTTGAATCTAGACACGTGGTAGTTAAACTCATCATCATCACACCATTTGCCTTCATCCAGCAAGTCACCTGTGCAAGACGAAGAACAAGACAGTTTTACGTCACCGCTTACAGTTAAAGCCTACAAATATTATTTTAGTATTTTTATCTGAACATACGAATCTATCAAAATTTAGCAATAAGCCAGGACAAGGCTAGACAAAAGAACATTTTTATTTTAGTTCTACAGCTTTTATAAGTTTCTATAGATTTATTTTAAAAATAAATATATAACAAAAGCAATCTTCAGAACATTTATCATGGCCAGACTTATAAATTATTCTGAGACCATGTGACAAATATGTTTATCATATATCTCATCTAAAGACTCTCCACTTATTACAAACATGACTTGTTATTAAGAAAACAAATATACCCAAAACCAAAAGAACTTTTTAGAAATATTGACCGTTTCTTCGCATATTTACTCTTTTCATAGACAGCTCTCCAGTTTCACAGAAAGGACCAACAGTCCATTAAAATAGAGTAAAGTTTCAAGATTCATGAGAAAGAAACTCTAAACTGGGACAAACTTTAATAGACTTGCTCATCATCTTTCAGTGTTACTTCAAGCACTTACCTAGTACAAAGACTACATCGGGCTTGTGAATGACCATACTTGTCTGGAAGGCTTGTTTCATCTGCCATTCCCTGCAGATATGGAAGTAAAAGATGACTTATAATATAAACTATTTGTTGCACTTAAATACGAAAAACAAATCAATCACACCATAAAGCAGTATGTCATAAATAACTTTCTAATAAATGCCTTCCAAGAACAGCAGACCCAGAAGGTAAAAAAGTACTTAATCAAAACTCCTTTGAAAAAAGCCAAAATAAGTTAAAACAAGCACTAACACAACTCAAATGATTTATGTTTCACACTTACCTTCTAAGTTTATCAAACCAATGACCTTTTCTAAAGCCCAACAAATGAGTGTCAGCGATGAACATGACCTTCAGTTGACCCTTAGAGTGACCTCTGGGAGAAGAGGAGACTGGCAGCGAAGGCCAAGTACATTGCAGCAACACCACACAATAGTGTATTACCTTAAAAAAGGAAACAAAGTAAATATACTATTTTGACACTCTATACTAAGGCATGGTGGTAAGTGGAGCAAACAAAAATTTTCCTCTATTCTTTCTTTCACATGATGAGCAGGACTGTGTAAGTAAGTCCATTAATATAATATTCAGCGTTTCTTTTTCAAAGTGACAAAGATATGTTAACCATTTCTAACACACAGACTGGAGTGAAACACAGCAGGGAATCTACAGTCATGATAGTGCCAACTCAAGGGTGGAACCAAAGTTTCAAGACAATTTTTATAACACGAAGTTGAGCAACATGGACAGCTTTTCCCATTGTCTCATTGAGACAAACTGGACAAAACTTGAGGTATACATAAGAACATCTAAATTGTCATGCCCACATCTCAATTTAATTTGCTGTAAGTGAAAGCCATAAGAGTTGTTTTTACTTATAGAATGAGCTCTATGCATATATATATATATATATATATATATATATATATATATATATGACAAGACGAAATCCACTTGACGAAGGAGCAGCACATGCTACACTTTTATGCATTGATCAACATGAAGTATATATATATATATATACCATACAGCTAAACAGTTACCTCACAGTACAGGAAAAACAGGAAGGCAATGACCACAGCTCTCACTAGGCGACGGGACACTGACTCAAAGCATCTTTTTTCCAATATTCCCATCATGACTGCCTGCAGCACTCTAAGTCTAAGTCACCATTCTCAAAATCAAGAGGTTCAGTTTTCCTGTAAATGAGAAAACGTTCAATTTCAATCTACCTACACACTTGTTAATATTAAATTCCCTATATGCAAATCTCCATGATAAAATCATAATCAATTTCATAGCAAAATGACTGTATGCTGGTGTCTGAACGAGCTGATCAACTTAGATGTAGATCTAGATCTAGATCTCATGTCTATGTGTGACAATAATCAGCTGACACATTTATGCACCACAACAAAGATTTCGATAAAACCTGACTGGTCATTTCAATGAGGTCGACCAATTCATACTTTTTCAAAAGTCTTTGAGATGCCTTACATTATTTTATTCTTGAACTAGATTTAGAATCTAGATCTAGATATCTAGATATATCTAGTCTACATCTAGATATAGATCTAGATAATAGATCTAGATTAGATTTCTAGAGATCTATTGGCAGTATTGGCGTTTCACTTTTTTCTCAAGTTCGAGTTCAAGCCTCAGCCTCAAGCAGCTGTTCCCACGGAAATTAGCCTAATCATTGTCCTTAATGCAACAACCCACAATATCTACAAAACCATTTAACTTACGTCAGTATTAAAGCACTAGTGTCATCAATTGACAATACTCTCACATACTCGATTTATCAAAGACTTTGGAAGAAACACTTTACAGATTTCGTCTTTTACAGTCTCAGTCTTGTGTGTCGTCGTGTAAATATTGGGAGAGACTCATAATGTACCGATTAGCAGTACAAAAAAAGTCCGGAAGTAAAGAAACGTCGCTGGCTTGTTCGCATAGTTCAAGTCTATGGTAATGCATGAATGGCGACTGCTGTACGTACAGTTTTGTTCAGATATATTGCTGTTTGTCCGCAGTTCAACACCACCAACACAAACACACACACACACACACACACACACACACACACACACACACACACACACATAAAACATACACATACACACACAGTTATGATCATAATAATATTGTACAGGCCTATGTATTATACTTTCTTCCTTCTCATGTTGCAGCCACGCCAACGGTTTTAAGAGAAATCTATGCAGATTTAAGTGCCCCGAAACTGCATTTAATTTGTCTTATCTTCATTCGATTCATTATTTTCTATTGTCTCTCATATATTCGCTTTCTTTAGTTTAATTGCCCATCTTTCACCTTCGTACATGTCTGTGTCTGGTGTGACCATAAAGGACTCCCACTACATAACTTCACCCTCGGTGCATACTTGACCACAACCCGCTTTTCTCGAGAAACAAGTTTTCACATCGAGTGACGATTGGAGCAAGTGTACGTAGCTACGGTGCTTGACTTTGAGATCAGTCGCTTAGCCTTTTTTGAAAGGCTTATCATTAATGTTCAGTTGGGTTGAAGTCATGAAAGCCAGTCGAGTCGGGTGGGTGGTAAAAGGGGTGGTGGCGTGCCCTGACCAATTAATTAATAATATATTGAGATCACTCGGAATATAAAGGATGCACAATGACTTAAAAGACAGTGAAACGCACATTAAAAATCAAACAAACAAACAAACAAAACGTGACGATACATTATAATGAATTCAAAAGTATTATAATCTTGTTAGTGGCAATACCACGTTTCAAACAATGAAAATGGACTCACCTATGCGTCTTTATGCACGTACACGATTTGTGTCCCTTGCTTTTCATGTTGAACATTTTGCCGATGACGTGGGCTCTCGTAATCTAGAGGTACAATGCTCGCCTCTCAGTCAATAGGTCCAGGGTTCGAAACCTGACAGCTCGGCGGGAAATGATATCTTTTAAAAATAAATTTCTCCTTTCACTTCCTTTCCTGTTAACATCCAGCCATGTCCTGTCGTCTGCTTTCGTCTCCACTTTCTCCCCCACCTCTAATCCTTTATTTGCCCCATTCATCTGGGCTGCTTACTCCTTCTGCTGCTCGTCCTTTGGCTCCTTCTCGTTGTCTTTCAGCCAAATTACTGATCTTAGGGTAGATAAGATCTAACACACAGCCTTTTCAAATAAGGGCTAAAAAAAATCGGGAAAAGGGGGGGGGGGCGTGCTCAGTCTACGCTTTGGCCTGAAACCGCGAGATTGTGCAAACTTGATGTCAAGCGCTCGATGTCTAATCACATGACACAAAGCGGTTTCAGCCCCCGAGCCTAATAGAACCTTCAGTGCTTTGTCTAAGCATTATTCAGTGTGTGGCTTAATTGAGGAACAAACCAATGAAGTTGCATCCTCCCTGACGGAGGGAGCGTCTGATTGGACAGAACTATGGCCGTAGCTAATACTAATAGTTAATAGTACCAGAGAGGGTTTACAGTGAAACTCTCTGATAGCACTAGACACACAGACCAATCAGATCACTTTTTGGGTTATTGTGCTTCAGAAATTTCGTTCGTTCCACGGAGTTTCACTTTTTGTCGAAATATATTGTTATGTTTTGTCCCTTTAACACTGTTTTTGGTGAAATGTTTTGTTTTGATTCTAGTCACAGAAGTTAACTTTTCGGTGAAGAAAACCAAGTGGGGCAGAAGCTGCAAGCTCCACCCCTCAAGACGCCGCTGCTGAAAGTGGGTTGTTGGCGGATAATCTGGTTTGGTTTGCTCCTTCTTCCCTATCGAACTCTATATTCTCTATCCCTCCTTCTTCTTATTTGTGTCAATTTCACTCGTAAGATAAACTATGATCTACTACCGTTACTCATGTAATATTTTTACAAATCTTGTCGTGTCACGTCATTTGGCTGGTCATTCCTGTCTTTTTAGTTTTTTTAGTGAGAGTTTTACGGCATTTGCGACACAATAAGGTCATATAAGTGCCGAAGATTAGTGGTGTTACAAGAGAGTAACAAACTCAGGGAGATAAAGACGATAGATGTTTGATAGGAAAGAAGGAGCAAACCACACCAGAGCACCCGCCAACAACCCACGCATTCCAGTCTGTGCTGCGCAGTCAGGACAGGGAATTGAGTTGAGCGCCAATACCAGAATTTTTCAGGCCAATTTTTGTCGTACGACACGGTCGTTTACGTGTCAATGGGTGAGCAAGGTGGTCTAGGGACACATGTATAGACAATGTGACAAAGTGGGTCTTCATTGAAGTCGCACAATATGCGCCCTTTTCCGAACATTTTTTATCCCCCCC